CCATCTTTGAACACCTTCCCCACCGGGCACTTTCATCCACACCTTTGGACCACCAGCTACAGATCATGAATTCCTAATCTCTAAATCCAGCCACTATCTCTCTCCTGAGAATCAGACCAATTTATATTTCAACATCTCCTCTTGACTGTCTGACCAGAATTTTTAACATAAAATATACCACACTGAACTCATTACCCACATGCCCCTTCTATATACTTATTCTGGTTATTGGCATCATGTTTTAAAACCTGAGTTATTCATTCTATTTCCTCCCCTCTCAGTAATCCTTTATCAGTCACCAAGGTCCATTCTATCTTAAAAAGAATATAACCTAAATCTATATTCTCCATTCTCAAGACCTCTGTCTTGGTTTAGGCACACATATATTTGGGATTACTACATCTCTCCTAACAGTTTTCTCTACCTTCAATCTGGCTCATTCTTTAGTCTTCCTTTATACTGCTGCTAAAGTAACCTTTCTAGAATATAATTGGAATCATTTCTACCACTGCTTAAAATCTTTCAATGATTCAAAACAAAAACCTAAAATCTTAGCAAAATATCCTATCTCTTGCCACCTCTTTAGCTTTCTCTATTCCTCATTTTCCCTATGAGACACTAAATTCCAAACATATCACTGAAGATTCTGGAAAAAGTCATATGGTTTTTATTTCAATACCTCTGCATATGTTTTTCCCTCTTTTTAGAAAGTCTTTTTCTTGACACTTTCAAGTAACTTTGACCTGCTCAAGACTCAGCACGGGCATAATATGTGACCTTCAACTTCCTTCATTCTTGCCTTGCTCCCACAGCCTTTAACAGACACCTTTTCAAAGGATATAATTGTCTATATTTCAGTAAATTTTGAACACTGTGAAAGTAAAATATGGTTATTACTCATTTTTGTGTCCTACAATGCCTAGCACTTTGCCTGGCAATAATAAGTAATCAATAACTATATATAAAATGTTTAAGCCTTTTTATTTTTCCTGAAACAGAATTTCCATTATAAAAATCTCCAACAGACGCAGAGCAAAGCGGCTACTCGAGAACAACAGAAACCAGTTAAGAAAGCAATAAACATAAACAAATGAGACAGAAAAGGGAAAATTAAACACAAAGAGTCTCTTCAAAGCAGCTCCTGAGAGCTGTTTTTCACTGTGTCCCACATTCTATCACAAATGTTTTACTTGCTGTTTAATCTCCAATGTTTATTCTGATTTCCCAGAAGATAAGTGGTGAGAAGTTCTCCCCACAGTGGGTAGGCGCAGAGAAAAGTGGAAAGCATTACCTAAATCAGCTATACTTCAGAACTGAGCATAGTTAGGACTTTAAAAAATGCCATAAAAGTAAGACTGCTGATCTTTCCAGCCCCAATTCCACTTCTAATAGTTGCCTCCTAAAGTCTTGGGAGTAATATTACGATGGAAATTTTACCAACCAGTTCTCAAACTTTCTCCCTAACAGATTGCCAAAATCTCTTCCTGAACTTTTTTTTTTCTCTCTTATGATAAGGAATTAAATAGATTCACTATTTACTCTGTAAACACGCCATCACATTTTTATCCTCAAGATAAACTGAAATACTTTCTTCCTACATTCCTCCAAATGGTCCTTGAACAGACACTTCCCCAGCTGAATTCCCTCTAATATTTGTCAGTTTTCTCTGAAGGAAATATAAAGCTCTCCTCCTAATACTGGGGCTTCTAACATTCTCGATCCTTCCCCTTTCTTTTCTCCAGTGGTACCCATACCCAATTTTGCCCTTTAAAGTAAGACAAATTCAGAATCCATTCAAGTTCATAAGTAATTTTAGAATTATATGAGAGAATCCCAGAGACCAACTCCACATAGCACAGTAAGTCCACAATTGTGTCACTCTCATTTAGCATAAAATAAACATAAGCATTCAAGCTTATGTTATAATCAGATGTGTACCAAGTTTTAACCATCATTAACCAAAAACAATGGAAATCCATGCCATAAATCCACGCCATAACTAGTAGCATCCAGTATAATATAAATTAGATGTTTTGAACAGAAAAGAGGGAAAAAAAGACTTAGAAGACTGAAGGATATCACTCTGATAGCACTTACCTAGCCAAGTTTTTCTCACCTCCAAATCATCAGATTCTTCTCTAGCCCTCATCCTTGGAAAAAAGAAATTGGCTCTCTTGGTAGAATTCACCCTACGCCTTCTGATTCCCAGGCTTAGACTGAGCTGCCTTGCAACTGCAAGAATTATTATTTTATCCAAATAGTTAGATCACTAGGTTTAAATCTATCTTTACCCAGCTGCCAACTCATTAATTACAGAGCCATAGACCCGTGGAATACATTTTTCTTCATTCAAAAAAAAAAAG